TGTCTTCAAACTTTTTCGGTGGTTTTCCACGTTCTTCGTTTCTCACATCAAAATCGCCACTTTTAAATTTTTTACACCACTCAAAGCACTGTGATTTACCAAGAGCATGCTCACCGTAAACTTCGACAAGCATTCGATGCGATTCTGCAACAGTTTTCTTCAAATGGTAACAGAAAATCAATGCTGTCCGCAAATCATAATTTCCAGGCACAAAATTCGACATGTTCAACGCTATTACAAACTATACTGTTGTATGAAACTTGTATTGTTGTGAGTTGAAAATCTTTGTCAGATGTCAGAACAAGGAAATGGCGTCAATGGTGCCGTCTGACGGCAACTACATTGATAACTATGGCCATCTATTGATAAATTCCGGTTTCATATTTACATACCGTTTCATATTTACATATCGTTATATTATCTTAAGAAAAAATCGGAAACATAAAAGAAAAATTGTGATATCAAACACAATAAAATTAATGTTATTATATTTATTAATAAAAGGTTATTAATTGCAAGATATCAAAACATGTTGGGAATTTAAGGAATAAGGATTATTCAAATTATTTAAATTATTAGATACTTATTATTACTTAAACACGTATATAACTCGGAGGTTTTCGAGCGATTGAATAAATGATGAATAGTCCGAAATAAAATAATCATTTGATTTCGAATTCTAACTGTATAACAAATAAGTTTATTAAGTTATGTATTTAAGTACTACTTTATACTACTTTATACAGCATAAAAAAGTTACAAAAACATTGCAAAAATATTTTATTACAAGATCGCATAAATTTTGCGAAATATCACTGCAATAATCACTTCTGTAATTAGACTGTTATTTTTATTATTTTGTATATGATAGAAAAAAACATAAATAAACTCACTAAAGAGTTATCTCTATAAAAGATGATTAAAAGATGACTAAAAGATGATTAAATTGTTTTTCAAATGATACATATTTAATAAGTTTTAATCGGATTCTATCGATTTTAATCGGGAATTCATTTTCATCATTTCAATAAAATTTAATTATTGTATTTCTTTTATATGCGTTTAAAACCCATTGAACGTGTATGCTACAAAAACCAATAGTATCCTATTGAATTCGATCAAAGCACTTTTCCATTTAAAACCCAATGAACGTATGCTATGAAAATCGATTGTAACGCCATTTCAGTATTAGGCAGAAGAGGATGTTCAGTACGTGCTTCAAGTTCGTGGCTCCATTTGGGTAGTCTTGATGATA